AAAATTGAATGATATTTAGTTTTTTGAATCTCATTTACAGAAACTTCCTAATTGTATATCTTTTACTGAACTGCTTAAGGAATGGAAACCTTTTTAAATGTTTGGACTAAATGCAATTGGTTAAATATTGTACAGACTTAAAAATGGGAAACATGAACATTGTTATTCTGTATCTAGCCAATTTGGTTTAATTTGACACTGAGAAAGCAACTGAACGTGTGCAAGAAGTCGTCTGCTTCGTGGTGTGGAAATAGGCACAGTCAAACTTTAAATTCCTATAAATATTTATTTTGGTTTTTTTTTTCATATGTGGAGCAAAAAAGTTCCTCTTTCTTTGACCTGAATTGTTCTCCATGGTCAACTCCATAGATCCTACTAGGCATGTAGAACATTTTTATTTTATATTCTGGTTGTCAGCATTGCAATACTTTTGTTTTTTTTTAAATGGCTAATATCTGTGCTCATGTTATTAATTTTCAACTGGTCCTTGGATGTCGGCATTCCAGTTGCAGTGGAAAAATTAGGAGGCACCTTGAGGGTGTTATCTTGTTCCTATGAGCTGCAATAGTTAGCTTAAAATCTAGTATCTCATTTTATGAGAAATATGCATGAGCTGTACGTTTGCACTGCAAAGTTTTTTTTTTAAAAAAAAAACTGATCCTCAGAACTTGGGTTGACCTTTTTCGTTCCTCACTGAGGAGACTGATGCTCCCACGAAGACCAGCGGAGGATCAAGTGAAGTGCTCTGCTGACCTCAGGACATTATGACAAGAATTGGGCCTGCAACCATTTCAGGGATACAGCAGATTTGCACGATATACTGATTATTTGGAACCCTAAGTCACTTGACTTCAATGGTTTCAAAACCTTGAGTCTCTTATTTTATACATGCATGTTCCAACAGTACACTGAATTGCTTTGATGTTTTTCACATTTTATACTTCAAGAAATATTTATAGTTCTAAGCATGTAGGAGCAATAGATCTGTATGTGGGGATTGCTTCTCCCTGTTTTGGTGTAGTCCATCATAGTCACCTTTTTCAAAAAAAACTAGTTTTGTGGATTTAGTGCAGATATTGCAGTACCTTTTTCAGAGAATTGTGGAATATAGATCTTACCTACTTTATTGCTGAGGAAATGGAGTATACAAATAGGCAAGTCTCGCTGCAACTTTACAGGGTGTTGGTGAGTTTGCCCACAGAGTATTGTGTACATTTTTGGTCCCCTTACTCAAGGGCAAGTACACATGCAATGGAAGCAGTTCAAAGAAGATTCACGAAGCACAGTTTCCAGATGTGTAAGAGTTCTCTTATGAGGAAAGTTTGAGCCGGTTAGATCAAAATCCTGAAATTCCCTCCCTAACAGCATTGTGGTTCTATCTATAGTACATGAACTGCAATGGTTCAAGAAGGCAACTAACCACCATTGTTTCAGGGGCAACAGAGATGGACAGTAAATGCTGACCTAGCCAGCGATGCCCACATCCCATGAGTGAATTTATAAGAAAATATTGGGTTTGTTCCTCATTGGTGTTTAGAAGAACAAGTGATAATCTTATTGAATACAAGATTCTGGTGCTTAACAGGGTGGATGATGAAAGGATGTTTGCTCTTGTGGGTTGAGGTTTTAAAAATGAAAAGCCTTCCATTTAAGGTGATGAGGAATTTTTATTTTTTCGGTGGATCATTAATCTTTGGAATTCTTTTACACCTGAGAGAACTGGAGCACTGGTCCATTGTCTAACAGTCTTGATTGTACTCAGGTTTTTGATCTACAAGGAAAATGATGACTATTAGAGGAAACTGGAGTTAAGACCACAACCAGATAAACAGTGATCATCATCTTAAATAGTTGAGCAGGCTCGATGGCTGAATGGTATATTTGTATTTCTTATGATCTCATTTCACAAATATGTGAGGAGAAAATGATTGTTTTAAGAATCATTTTCCATTTGAGGTATAGTCTTAGATACTACTGTTCTACTTCTATCCACACACCTGCAAACAGTCTTTCTTCCCCTAAGACTTTTTTCCACCCCTTTTTTATTCCGTGCCTGCCATCTTCCCCTGGAGGCATCGTTTAGGTGCTGATTTGAAATAAAACATCCCTAAAACGATTATTGTTATTTTTCAAAATATGATTAACAACACTTTTTGACTGCTTTTAAGTCATGTTCTTAATAGTTGAATTATTTAGTTAATTAGTTAAGAAAGAATTGAACATGGAAGTGATTCTTGTTTGCTGAAATGTCCTTTTTTTTTAAATTTAAAATTAAGATGTCACTCACTCCAATTCACACTTCAGCCTTGCCTTTAAAATTCCACTAATGACATTTATGGTCCATCTTGCCTTGTAGCACTCAAATATTTGAAATTAATACTTCTGACTAGAATGTCTGGATTCACCTACAATGGTGATGATTTTGGGGGTTTGGCATTTCTTGTTCTCCTCCTCCTGTGCCGCAAAAGAGCATTACTGGTAGTCACTTATTCCCGGATGTTATCTCATACTGACAATATATTGGCATAAAGTTTGGAATTCAAGATCTCATTAATATTTGAGGTAAAAGCAAATGTGTTCTGTTAAGCATTGTTGACTAAATTAGCAGTTCAGTCTTGAATAATTTTCTGTCCTATCAGTCCTTGCGTATCCAATTTCAAATTCGTGGACCTCTTTCCGAGAACTGCCACCTCTGCATTTGCCAAAGTATTGACTTGAGATGCTTGTGATTGCTGGCTCAGCAGGGCACCCTTTTTTTTTTAAACTGGTGACATCAACTCAAAACTCCTATTATAGTTTTTGACAGTTCAAGTTTAGTGTATGCCCTTTTGGAGGGGCAGTGAGTCAGTAATTGGGTAAATATTTTGTAGAATGCATTTGCAGTGCATGGTTTGTTACTGTGACCCTGGTATCATATAAAATAATAGAGAACAAAAAATGCTGGAAATCACAGCAGTTCAGGCAGTACTGTGTAGGGAGAGCAAGCTAACATTTCGAGTCTAGAGGACTCTTCCTCAGCAGATAAGAATCGGGTCTGAAGAGTCAGCTGGACTCAATGTTAGCTTATTCTCTCCATGGATGCTGCCTGACCTGTGATCTGCAGCAATTTACTCCTACATCATATTACATAATTTGCTAAACTATGACTGGGTAAGGCCATGGTAGTGAGTATTTAGAGGGGTACCTTTTATAATCCTGGGTTTGATTCTTAACCTGTGTTATCCAATTTTACATGGGCGATTTGTGATCTCCAGATACTTGGCACTTGTGGCAGTTGAACAGATTAAGATTTAAAGTGATGCCGTCTGGGGGAGCTTGTCCCATTTAGGAAGACTGAACTATTAGCCGGGAGGGTTAATGGTTGTTATGAAGCTGACTTGGAAGAGGAGAAAGGTGAATTTTGGAAGTGCAGATCTAGATGTACATTAACTAGGTGTTGTATTGTAATCAAAGTTTTCACAGTGCCTGAGAATAGACTAGCAGATAAACTTCATCCTGTACCAGTGATGTGGCAAAAACAGTAGCTGTAGCTTTGCACCAAGTCCGTTAATTTTTTTTTGCCTTTTCATTCTGTTGATTCTGTAGGTGTAACTGAATTGTGTGAAATGTATGTGGGTCTTGAGATTGTGCGCATATAAATGTAAAACATAAGTGAAATACTGCAGATGCTAGAAATCTGAAATAAACACAACATGCTGAAAATGCTGCAGCTTTGGAACTTCTGTGAGGTTTCTACTATAAATGTAATTTTGCTCTGATATGTTGTGTTGTAACACTATTTGGCAGAACATCAGTGATGAAATTGCTGTCCCTTATTAACAAGCCAACGGTTTTAAGGTATGAGGTAGTTTCATGTGTGCTAATGACTCTTGGTTAAGTAATAATTTTGAGCCTGTTCTTGGATGCTTAGGATAAGGTGGTATGGTTGTAGAAGTACAAATGCAAAATACCTTTTGGAAACAGTCGCCATGTACAAAGATGAAACTTTAATACTTTTTTTCTGAGAGCTTCTGATTCAGATCATCTAACTGGGCAGTTGCCAAATGGAGAGTATGCATTGGTCCACAGAAAGAGCGGGAGAAAGTTAAATCCAATAACTATCAATAATAAAACTGAACTGTGAAAGCCTTTGTTATTTGGAGTCTGGCATTGTCCTTGAAAATTGAAGAGCAACGTTGCATCAAGCTCAGCAAATGTGACAATGTTGCATGTGTTGTGTTTAGAAGCTATTATTAAGACCTGATGGAGGATTTGTTCATAGAATCTCTACATTGTGGAAACGGGTCCTTTTGGCGCAACAAGTCCACACTGACTCATTCCCCACCTAAGCTCCACATCCCTGAATACTACGGGCAATTTTTTTAGCAAGGCCAATCCACCTAGCCTGCACATCTCTGGACTGTGGGAGGAAACCGGAGCACCCGGAGGAAACCCACGCAGACACGGGGCGAATGTGCAAACTCCACACAGACAGTCACTCGGCAGTGGAATCGAACCCGTGTCCCTGGCGCTGTGAGGCAGCAGTGCTAACCACTGAGCCACCCTTTAAATTAATGGAAAATTGCATGGTTTGCAGGGAACACACCTGGACTAAAATTCTTTGATCTATGCAAAACCTTTTATTACTATTATTACATTTTATATTGTGCCAAAGATGATTTCAGGGTGTCACAAAGTACTTTATAGTCAAGGAAGATACTCATGTAGGAACCATATAAATCCCTCTCAAACAGTTTGATTAGGTGAAAATAGTAGGTTTGTTAAATGTTTGAGGGGTAGCTGATTGGCCAAATTACAAATGGAGAAGATTTTTAGTTTGCATTGAGAGTGTCTACATTTGAATATAATTTATTATTTATAGTTTCCTGTTAATGAAATGAACTAATGTGTGACTATTAACCATTGACCATTGATAATCCATAGTAATGTGTGAAATGTGTTTTTTTTTGATCATTAATGAAATGAGATATGAAATTTTCCTTTTATTGTTGACTTAACAGAGTTACAAGAAGATCAACATCGACAAACACGAACAGCTCTTTACATACCCTCCTGTTGCAACACGGTATGCATGCTTACTGTGGCTTTTTGATTAACTTAGAATTAGATTTTTCTAAATGTTAATGACAATAGTACTTCCAGTACTACTTTACTGTTTTTATTTACTTTTTAAAGCTTGCTTGTTTTAATGCTGTGGATTCCTGCAAAGGAAAATATTTGGTTTCTGATTCTAAATATTGCAACTATTGCACAGTGTAATTGAGTGTCATTTTAAATCTGATTTGTTGTCCTGATATGTGTCAGAAGAGCATAAGAAATAGGAGCCAGGAGTATGCTATTGCAACACCTGCAATAAGCCTGCCCAGTGATTCAACAATATCATGGTTGATCTGCCCAATTGTCACTCTGGGTATCATCAGGAAATGGTGAGTTCTCCTCTCTTGGAAGATACAACTGAGGCTGCACTAGACCCACAGATCTGTTCGTTTCATTGGAGGCCTGACAGAGAGGGGGAAGAGTTGCCTTGCAAGCAACAACATTTTTAGTTGGAAGAATGATGAAAGAACAGTGCAATAGAAGAAAAAAAATCAAAATGCAAAATGTCATTTAAATCGAGCTTGGACCATTATATATAGTTGTTTTTGGATCCGCTCAAGTGCATTAGTTTTTTCAAAAGCTCCCTAGCAATTGTTTATCTCTAACTTCTCATGTTGCAATTAATGTTAATTACTTTCCCTGACATGATTTATTCCAAAGTTGAGGTTAAACTTGGAAAGGTTACTGTCATTATATTACAGTTCTGAGCTATATGCAACTGCTTTTCTTTTCATTTTAGTCTCTGAGAACTATTTTTTTGCCACATAACACTTTCTTCACTGTCATTTTTCATTTACAGTTAAATCAAGGTCCATGCAGAGGGGTTTTAATTATGCACATAACTTATTTCAGCATCAACTTTTGAAGATGATAGTATCACTTAATTAAACTATTCAGGCTAAATCCATTCATTAATTAACACCAGTTTCTTTGCCCTGAGTGTTTTCATTCTTGACATGTGTTTGTTCACTGCTAAATCCTTGTTCTGTTTTTAATGTAGAAATTGTTTGATTTTAATACTCTTCAGCATTTTTGCACATGGGTTATGTAATAACTACTGTTACTTGCTCTGTGTAAACATTATAAGTTTATTTAATTCTGATGAAAAGTTCATTTTTATTGTCAAATATATTTTATAGAACATATGCTTATGTGGGAGAAGAGTACCAAAAGTATGGGCTACAACAGCGATCTGGTGTTGTTTTAAATAATTGTATTACAGCAACAGAATATGCTATAACTAGAGCCATTTAGAATCTAGAAAAACCCTTGCCTTGAAGAGGGAAAGGAAGCAGAAAATACAGCATTGGAGGGGTTTGTGTGAGAAAAGAGGGAAAGATCATAGAAACGTAGCAATTCTAAACTTGAGGTTCGTGACAGTCCCCATTTGACTGAAGAGGTGATCATGTAGGTTTGTGCGGTTGTACAGTACCCTTCCAGAATAATCTTGGATTACTGTAAAACTTGTGCAAACCTGTTGTAATTCTTCAGGGATCCATCAGTACTAAACAAAGAAACTGACTTCACCTGAAAACTATGAAACCAATTTGAAAATTATTCTGGCTGAATATCCCCATTTTAAGTGTCTTTGCCGACCAACCACCTTTATAAACCTGCATGTTACCATTTAACTTTCTGAAAGTTCCTAGCACAGAAAGACCAAAAAGGGAGGCACCCACCCTAATCTTACATTCATAGCCCTGCAGTTGAAAGCAGTTGAGGTGCATATCTTGACTCCTTTTGACTTGAGTTGAAATTTTCTGCCTCTTCTACCATTACAGACTGTGATAGGAGTTTGGATTTCACTCAGAGTTCAGAAAGATGCCCCAATTTTTCCTCTTTCTACTATTCACTTCAAATCTATGCCCCCGAGTCACCAACCCCACTGCTGAGACCACCATGTCGTTTCCACCCACTCTGTTTGGGCCCTTCACAACCTTGTGTATCTCAGTTAAATGTCCCGTCACCCTCCTCTGCAAGCAGATCATCCCAGTCTGTCCAATTTTATCTTCAGAATTGCACTTTTCCAATCCTGGCAACATACTTCTAAATCTCCTTTGAACACTTTCTAGTGCAGTTACATCTTTTGAGTAATGAGGTGACAAGAACTGCACACAGTTTTAAGTTGTTTTCTAATTAATGGTCTACACAGTTCTAGCATAAGCTTCCTGTTGATGTATTCTGTCCCTCAGTCCAGCCATCTTTAGGTTTCTGGACATTCAGTCCAAAATCCCTCACCTTCCTCAACAGCACTCTATATCCATCCGTTAATTGTATATTCCTTTGCCTGTTTGCCTCTTAAAAATTCATCACCTTGCACTTCTTTGGTTTGAATTCCATTTGCCACTTTTCTACCCACTTACTAGTTCATTGATCCCTTCCTGCAATTTAGAGCTATTTTTCTCGCTGTCAACCATGCAGTCAAATTTTGTGTTGCCCTTCATTTACTTTAGATCATTAATAAATACCACAAAAAGCATGGGCCCCTAGTGTTGAGTCCTGCAGAACTTGACTGGAACTAACCTTTCTATCGCAAAAACACCTATGAGCAGTTATCCTGTGTTTCCTGACAGTGAGACAATTTTGTAACTTGCCACATTCCACTGAACCCAATGGGCATTTACTTTTGCAACACTAATGATAATTTACATGTCGTGCAGTGCATGTACCATTTGGTTCCATAGGTGTGGGTTGCTTTCTCATGCCCTACCCTTGTATTCTTCATTTACGAGCCCAGCCAATGAATACTGCAGACTGTTTCACTTCAGGGAGCATTATGACTGAGACTGTATCTTTCTTAGCCTGCGGTTCACTTTGCATTTTCTAATGACTAGAGTGGGACAGTGTGAGTAAAGAGACAGCTTGATATTTCTGTTGAGTTTGTCCTCCATACATGTTTTCTAGCAGTGGTCACTGGATAGCAGTCAAGAACAGGAGTACTTAGCTGATTTCTTTTTTTCTCTCGACTTCCCTAGTCCAGGAGTGCTGAGGCCAATTGTAGCACTTCAGCTGCCACCTCAGTTGACGTCAGCTAACTGAGTACAGATCAGGGATGGGAACTTTTGGTCTGTGTGGGTAAGTTCCACACTGAACAGTGCATTCACTTCCATTTTAAATGGAATAAGGTTAAGGTTCTGGGTAATGTTATGTGCTTTCAATTGCAGTGCTGTTCAACTTTGAATTTTACTTGATGAGAATGTTAGAAAATTGGAATTTATCTTCCAAATCAACTTTGCATTTGGTAAATAATTTGGAAGGTTTTTGGATGCTATACCAGAGTGCATGAACAAAACTGTCCTGTTTTTCTTTTTTTTTCCTCTTCCCTCTCTTTGCCCTGTCATGGCAACGAAATGGTACTTTTTAAGTTGATCCTGTTCATCTTAAGTAGCAGATCTGTTACTTGAGTGGAATAGAAAATTTTCTACACATTCTCTAAAGTCATGTAGTAATATTAATACAAATGTTCTACTTATTGACATCTATAATAGTTGCAGTCTTAATTGTATAAATATCTTGTTGAAAAATAATGAAGGGAATTAATCATGTTGGACAGTTCCCTTTTTGTGAAAATCTTCTATGTTATGCAAACCCAGAATTTTTTGCTACCGAAGTAAAATATGCTATCCTAAAAGTTCTGTTTATACTTTATTTTAGTCGAGGCTTTATCCATTAGCTTCACTTATCACGTATAAAAGATCAAAATGGGGTCATTGTTGTATGAAAATCTCTGGAGTGAGGCCATTAATGTAAATTAATTTCCTCACTGGCTCGATGGAGAGGTTTCAAAATGTCTGAACTTGGGATAATGTGATTTGAACTGGAAGTTGCATAAAATAGCAAAATAATTTGGATATCAAATTTTGGTGTTTACTTTTAACCATTGTTGGTCATTGTCAGTTGAACAGGCAGGATTTTGAACTCTCATTTGCTTTAAAGTAAAATAAACTACTTTTTATAACTGCACAGTTTCTAGGCTCGTAACATTTCTTATTCTATTGTAGTATAAATTATAAATCTAAATGTTTGTTAATCAATATCACAGGGTTCATTTGTCTTTGACCATAGATTTCTCAACGAATAGGGGCTCCACATGCAGTGCCACATGAAATGAATAAAGGGCCCCAGCCTATTGGAGGACCTCCAGCTGCCCCACATCCCTCCCCTTCTGGGATTTCTCAGGTGAATAAAAGGTTTTTTTATCTTGTTTTTAAGTTTGAAGTACTGTCATATGTGATTGTCACTGTCCCACAAATTAACTTTCCTTTGTCATTGTTTTTAGACTGCCTATCCCTCTGGCCAGACAACTGCTCCAGTAGTTTTTGCATCACAGCAAGCTCCACAAATGAACACTCAACCACAACCACGGCAGGTAAGATTAGGTTTCTGATTGGCAGAATTGTCAAAGATGCTGTCTAACTTCCGTTAGAACAAGTATCTGTACCCTCAGATAATTGCAATATCTTGTAATTGAGCAGTTTTAAGCAAATTACATTGCAAGGTCAGCACTGAATTATTTTTCCTGGATCATGGAAACTCTTTTAAAAATTGGATTAAATTTTAGCTTAATTGTTTTGAAAAGGCTCCCACCCCCCTGTAAAATTTAATTGATTTTTAAGTTACATCTATTCTTCCGTCTTGGGTAAAAACAATCTACCTGGTTTTGTGTGGCTGTGGCTAATGCTGCAGTTTAGATCGGCAAGCAGATTACTGCCACTGCTAGGACAAGACTTGTGTATTCTGTCTTTCATAACCTCTCACTGTCCAGGAGAGAAGTAATGAACGGCCTTGCGTGCCAACTGGTTGAGATGTTTTGGCGGAAGCCATATTGGTGAGTTTGAAGTGAAGAGCGTTTTAGTCACAATCAGTTTGCCCAACCCCTTCTGACGAATTTAGATTTTGAGGCTTCCATATTCATTAAAAGAGAAATGGTTGTCAAGCATTTTGGCATTACAAGTCACTTTTATATATCAGTATTCAGAATATTACCTTTGAGTTATTTGTTTGCTGCTATTTTTAATGCAATGTACTTTGAAGCATTATTTATCTTGAATGGTAATGTTTATTGAATTCTAAGGTTTAAGTTAATACAGTAAATGAAATAACTCCACAGAGGCCGATATCCCACCACCAGGTCACCCTTTATTTACGCGTCGAAAGTCCTTGATTCTGAGCCGGTTGAGTGTACAGGATGTCTGATGCTCCTGAATATATCTATCAGCCAGGGCTCCCTGATTGGACAAGAGTAACAACCCCAATTCTCGGAGGTCCACCTGGCTGACTGTATAGTAACATGTATGCACACAGTCTGAGGGCATAGGCTGGGTGTTTTTCTTTTTTGTACTCCTCCATTTTTGTCATTGTAGCATTGTGTCAGGTTCCTCCAACTCCGCCTCCGATATGGGCAGCGTGTAGCACATACTAGCTCGCCTCTTGCACCCGGAGAGTCTCTGAAGAAATTCAGTCTCTTCTTCAGGCGGCAAAGGTGTCAAGGTGGCAACATCCGCCATATCCATCTCAAATTCCTGAGGTATCTTCGTGGCTTGATGGAGAGGGAGAACCCATGGGTTCCGGAACGGTTGGAAAGGCTGTTAAGGAGCCAGGCACGTTTTGCTCCAAAACCATTTGCAAGTTTGCAGTTTTCGTATGGTCCACGTGCTTGTTCAGGACTGTCCCACCTACTTGAACTTTATATGTCACCGGACCTAACCTTGCATTGACAATGCCCCTTGCCCATGCAGGGCCATTCCTGTGGTTCCAACACCAAACCTTGTCCCGGAATAAACTGTCTCTCTTGCTTCGTGGAGTCTTGTGTCTGGCATTGGCATTCCTGATGCCCTTTCACCTCTACCCTCCGATACGGGAATATAGATTTAACCTGGTGTAGAGTCTTCTCCCCATGAGCAACACTGCTGGAGCTATCCCTGTGGTGGCCTAAAATCAAATATGAACCAGGTCAATTTGGTATCTAGTGAACCTGTAGGCTTGTTTTTTTATTCCTGCCTTCAAAGTTTGGACTGCTGTTTCTACCAGACCATTGGATGACAGGTGGTATGGAGTTGCCCTTGTATGACAAATATCATTTGCCTTTGGCAAATACTCATTCCCTAATGGTAAAAGGTGACCCATTATCTGTGACCACTTCTGGGAGCCTGTGTCTTCAAAAAGATGCACGCAGTTTTTCTATCACCGTCCGCATATTTGACAAATGAACTCTCTGCACGTCCAGATGCTTTGAGTGGGTGTCCACAATAACAAAGAACTTTTGACTATGCAGGCCCTTTGATGGGCTCAATGTATAACTGAGTCCAGGGTTTATCTGGACATTCCCATGAATGCGGGGTATCTGCTGGCGAAAATTTTTTGTCCTTGTTGGCACTCTGGGCTTCGTCCCACCAACATGGCTGTGTTAACATCCAATCCTGGCCACCATACATAACTTCTCACCAACATTTTCATTTTGGAAACCCTGGATGACCCTGGTGGAGTAGTATCTGGCAGGAACCATTGTTTGGGCAGTCACTCTTGCTTGCCATAATAATATGCTGTTCTCTATTGTGATCTGGTCTCTCTGATCCAAAAAGATTTCAGTTCTGGTTGTAATGGCCCTTTGGTTTCCTTCATCACCACCAGCTGTTTGTTTTGCCAGGACCCTCTTTCTGTGTTCAAAGTCTGATATTGTCAGCTGTGACTGGAAGTGTGCCCAAAAAATTTAAAACCAATTACAGACTCTTCCGATGGCGGTACCACAGTGGTCTATCTGCCAGTCAGGGTCAGGTCAATGCGTCTGCATTTGCTACTTAGTCTCCTGGACAGTGATCGAACTTGTGATTATACGCACTTAGCTTCAACCTAAATTTCGCTGTGAGCTCTAATGCTATGGATGGCACTGCCTTGTCCTGTTTAAGTAGATCTAGTCGGGGTTTGTGGTCCATTATTATTACAAGTGTATGTCCGTAAAAGACATTGGTGGAACTTATGATTCCCAAAGCTTCCTTCCCTCTCTGTTGCTGTATATTTATGCTAAGTATTAGCCAAAGTCCTGGTTGCATATGTGATTGGCCTCTCCGTTGGGCCATCTAATGAGCTAAAAGTACCCTGATGCTTTACTGGGAGGCATCCCATGTCAATACCAGATCGCGCTTGGGATCTAGTGTGCTAACACCTCAGAGGATGATGGCTGTTTCTTCACTTCCCTGGAAGCTATGGCTTGGCTACGCAACCATTTCTAAGGCTGACCCTTTAAGATTTGATACCAGGATCGAGGTCAGGTTATGTATGAACTTTCTGTAGTAATTCACCAGCTCAAGGAAAGGCTTAAGCTCTGGTACAGATGTGTGAACTGGAGAACCTTTGATCGCCCTTGCGTTATTTTCCAATAAGTGTAACCCAGTCTTGTCGACTCTGTAGCCCAAGTAGATCACTTGGGGTGCCTGGAACACTTTTTTTTCTTTTGAGGGAAACCTACGCCTTCTGAGGAGAAGTGTTTAAGAACTGTGTCCAAGTTCTATAACTGCTCCTTCTTGGTCTTCCCTGTTATTCGCACATCCTCTGGATAAATGGTGACATAAGTAGACTTTGTAAAATGTTCCCCGTTGTCCCCTGAAAAATTGCATAGGCTGATGATACCCCAAATGGTAGTCTCGTCTGAGTACAAACCCTTATGGGTATTAATTGTAGCAAACTTCTGGGAATCCTCATCTAGTCGCAATTGCAAGTACACATTACTCATGTCCAGCTTCGTGAAGGATAGCCCCCTGCCAGCTTCGCATATAAATCCTGCATGCAAGGGAATGGATGGGTATTAATCCAGCTGTGGAAAGCGGTTTACCGTTTGTTTAAAATCCCCACAAAGGCAAACTGACCTGTCGAACTTTACAATTGGTATGATTGATGCTGCCTGTTCCACAAACTGGACTGGTTTGATGATTGCTTCTGATTTCTGCCTCTACTTTTGCCTGTGAGGCAAATGGCTGTGGGTGAGCCTTACAGAATGATGGAATTGATTCCTGGTTAACATGCAGCATGGACTTGGCTCCTTTTGATAATTTTCAGAAAGGTCTAGAGACTATCTGGGTATTTAATTGGGACTTCACTCAGGCAGCCATTTTCTAATTGAAAAATGCCGAGCCAATCTAGGTAAATGTTTTTCAACCAATTCCGCTCCATCAAGCTTGGGCCTAAGCCTTTTTACTACAATCACTGACTGAACCAGCTGCTTCTCAAAGGAGATTGAAACCGAAGATGTACCTTTAATCTGTAAGGATTTCCCAGTACAGCTTCTAGCTGAGGCCTTGCGTAAATTTAGGGTTGCAGTCTGGAACAAATTTTGTTGAAGACTGGTTCAACGGTTACTGAAATGGCCATGCTTGTATCAACCACCATTAGAACCCAGTGACTGTTTTACCAGATCTTTATTTTGATTGCTTACCAACATCCAAGCCAGAACCAATTTAACTGTTCCGAACCGGAAATAAGTGGACTTGCCAACGTGTGCAATTTGCTGGATATTGGCCATTGAGGTCTTTTACTCAGTTTAGATATAGTGTGACTCTTTTGCTATCTCGAGTTCGCATACCAGCAGCAAATACAATGGCTTGCCGGCCTGAATCATGAAGAAAATTTTAACCGTTTGCCTGAGGCTTGGCTTTGTTTTGGGGTTTTGCTGTGGCCTGACCTGGAGTCCCTCTGTTCAGGATATGCCTTGGGTGAGGCTATGCAATTGCCTTCATTCAAGTAGTGCTCCTCCAGCTCAGTTGGCCTGGCAAGAGTGTCACTTCCATTGGCATACCGTGCAGCTCATAAGCTCCACTTGCCGCATTTTTCATTGTTTAAAGCCTGTTAGTGTCTATTAGAAGTCCAGTTGGGCTTCAACTAGTAAGTGCTTTTGCATGGTTACATCATTAATTCCACATTCCAAACTGTCTCAGCAACTCATTAAGGGTTAAACCAAAGTCGTATGCCTCTGCCAGTCTTAACCTCGTCAGAAATCCTGATACAGATTCTCCTAGTTCTTGAATTGCCAAGTAAAGCCAGTAGCGTCTCAGAATTAGAGGAGGCTTGGCGTTGTAACCTTCCTTAATTAAATCTGTCAACTCTTGAAAAGTTTTAGTATCTGGTGATTCAGGGAAAGCTGAAAAGGCTGCGGGTCCACAAGCTATCAGGAGAATTACTTGTTGCT